AAAAAATTTCTTCCCTTTATATACTATTATATATTGATTGATTCATTGAAGAGGGTCTTCCTAAGTTACCCAGGCTAGGCTCAAAATTGCAGTCCTCCTGCTTTAGCCTCCCAGAGTGCTGGGATTACAGGCATGTAGCTAGGTGCAGTGTTCTGAAAACCAAATTAATTTAGTCAAGTTTGAATGAGTAGGCAAAATAGATACAGAAGGAACCCTGGAAAGTAGTCATTTACAGCTTTAAAGTTAAGAACATGGCAAAACTTCTCAGACCAAAGATGTCATTGAAAATATACTTCAGCCAGGAATGGTGATGCATGCCTGTAATTCCAACACTGGGAGGCTAAGATAGGAGAATTGCCTCGAGTTTGAGGCCAGCCTGGGCTACATATTGAGTTTAAGTTCAGCCTGGAAAACAGAGAGAAAGCCTGTCTCAAAACAAACAAATAAAAAGAAAATATACTCCAATAGGAAGATATGATGGCTGAGAGTATAGCTCAGTGATACAGTATTTGCCTAGCATGTGGGAGACCTTGGGTTCAACCCCCAGCACCACCCCCCCCCAAACAACTTTACCAAACAGACAGTATAAAGTGAAGATAAGACAGATTAAGAACATGAATCCGGGAATCTGAAGAGAGAAGGATTAAAAAATTACTGCATATTTGCCTTTTGTTCTGAATGGCATCTTTTGGCCCCAAAGATTTTCTTTAATAAGTAAACTTTGGGCAAAGACAGTGGAGAAAATGTTATTTTTAGGCCTGAAATACAGGAAAGGCAGGTTACTATGACACTTCTAATGGCTAAAAAGCTCAATTTCTGAGAAGGAAATGCACTCTCACACACACACACACACACACACACACACACACACACTTACCAAGATCTTTTAGCTTCTGTGCATTGAGTTTACCTGGGCGTTTCTTTTCCACAACTGAAAACCCAAAGGAGGGAATTCGGTGAAAGAGGCGAAATGCTTTTACAACAAACTGTTCATCATCAACCAGAAGGTATGAATTCTCTTCTGAGTCTAACAGGATAGTTCTTCCTTGTCCCTCTTTAGGAGTGCTGTCTGCTTTATCCACATGTGAAAACTCTTTTAGCTCTTCTGTGGGACACTGATCTGCTGTAGGCACCAACTCGTGGACCACATAAGGAAAGACCAACTCTGTATGAGAGAGCTCCATGGTTCGCCAGATAAAGTCCCGAAGTCCTACAGGGCCATAGATTTCAATAGGCTGTTTGGTGACAACAGAGCCACTCTGCAGGCTGATTGTGCATAGGAGGCCAGGAAGGCCAAAGAAATGGTCTCCATGAAGATGTGTGATGAAGATCTTGGTAATTCTCCCTTTTTATTGAGACAAGGAAATACATTTGGAAATTTTTCAAAAATAAAAACTCAAAGCTATTTGAACAAACCTAACACATTGCACTAAAAGTATTAAATTGAATTTACAAGTTTTATATACCATCATAGACTTATTCCTTTACTTTACTACATGGTTCCATAAGCAAGAATGGCTTTATTTCATTGGATGGTTTTAAATGATATGTTTTTTCATAAAACATTTTAAAATTACATAGTTTTGCATTTTTCAAGGTATTTTCCTATATATTCTCTCACTTTAAAAAAGTGAAATATAAAATTGAACCAAAATAATTCACTGAACTAGGTGGGACTTACGTGTCAAAAGCACCTGGCAGTTACACTGCCCCCTACTGCCTCCTCTGAGAACAGCAAACATGTACTGCATTTGGCAGCAAAACTGTTTCACTGATGCCAGCACCTACAGGACAGGGTTTTACCAACCAAGACAGAGCCTGCCTGTCCTGGTGAGGTTGTAGGGGAAGGAGAAAAGGGATGAGGGTGAAGAAAGGAGAGGAAAGGGAGGAGTGAGAAGAAAGGTGGTATGAAAGGAACCTGATAAGAAATAGGGAGGAGGTGGGCAACAGACACCAGAATGACTGGGGGACAGATCCCAACGATACTATGTGAAGGCACTTGGGCCCATCTCCTGCTTTCAATCCGAACTAACACAACAGCTTTTTTAGTGTTCACTGGCTTAGGTTATGACTCAATTTAGCCAATGGTGAACTGAATTTACTGCTGGTATGTGGCAGGATGCCACATCAGCATTTTCTGAGATGTACCACAGACATTTTGAAAGTAACAATCACAACTAGCACATTTCCAGTATAACAGGCTTCTGGGCCTTGCTCAAGGGCCACCTATTTTAAACATCTGATTCCATAAAAGTACAGGAGCAGTTTATTGATACCATAAAAGAACAGGAACCATTTATTGTAATGTGATTCCTGCTGACAGCAAATGTTCTCCCTGCAAGTCTGCCTAGAATGACTACACCCAGCCCAGGGGCAGAGCACAATGGATTGGACAAAGGCTGATTTTAGACTCTGAGAATCCCCAGGAGGAGGAGGCATTTTCCCACTTTAGAAGATTCTTTAATATGCTCCCTTTTCTTTTCCTTCTTTTCTTTGTCCTTATTTTTGCTGCTTTTTTACTTTGAAAGTCCTTTACTTTTCCCCTTTCCCCTTGCCCAGGCTGCTAAGCTATCTCCAAGTGTGACCTGAAGACTCATCAGACAAAAAGACTACAATGGCTGCTGAGTTCAGATTGTATATAGGTCTCAAAACTGGCAACATCAGCCTTTCTGGGTCCTTTCCTATCTACTCCAAAACAAAATTAAAGCTGAACACCAAAACAGCCTGGGAACCCAAAGCAAGGGAGGCAAATTAAATAAGTGGAAAATTGCTTCCCACAGTTATCACAGTTTCAAGAGGGACAAACATTTCATTTTTCAAGAAATTTGATTTCAGAGAGAGAAGAAATGGCAATCACAGTTATCAAAGGTATGAGGAAGTTATCAAACGAAAACAGAAAAATGCATGTATTCTCTGTCACATGAGAACAAGGAAAAATCAGGAAATACTGCACACAGAGGAATGGAATGCTGAGCATCCTCTGAAAATGATGGTAAAGTATACTTTCTGCCATAGGAAAAGGTCTGTAATACCATATATATATGGTTTCAGTGAAAAAGCAGGTTATGCCAGTATAGTGTGATTCCATTTATGCAAAACTATACCTACATAACATGCCATACACACAAATACAGCCATACCATTACCACATCTATATGTATAGAAAATTTACCTAAGGGAAGAGAACTTGGGAGTTGCGTTCTTTTTTTTTTTTTTTTGTATCGGGGATCGAACTCAGGACTTTGAGCTTGCAAAGCAGGCAGCAGCAACACTGAGCTAAATCCCCGGCCAAGGGTAGTCTTTTTGAAAAATTTATTTATTTATTTATTTGTTTTGGGGATTGAACTCAGGATCTTGCACTTGCCAGGCAGGTGTGGCACCACTGCGCTATACCCCTGGCCCCGAGAGTTCCTTATTTATACTTTTCTGTTTTGTTTGAACCTTCACAATAAGCATATATACTTTTTATAATAATTTTTAAAATTTATATATTTATTGGCACATTTTAGGTATACAATACATTTACATTTATCATTGGGTGTTTGTACCATTATAATCATTTTTAAGTCATTTTACATGATTTATATAAATCTCTCTTGCTTTCTCTTTTTTGTGTGTGCCGGAATCAAATCCAGGATTTTACACATGCTCTAAACACACATTCCAGCATTAAGCTACACCTCCAGCCCCACATAAAATTTTTATAATCATATTAAGATCATGCTTTTATGATACTTTTAGTAATTGTTTTATAATCATTTTGTTTTGTTGTCTCTGTTTTTGGTGCTGAGGACTAAACCCAAGGTCTTGCACATGTTAAGCACATGATCTACTAGTTAATGCCCCCTCCTCTGTGCTTCAAAAAGTACTTGGAAAATACCCTCGTTGTTCTACTGGACATATTACATGCTTCAGGATTGTCTTCATGTCCGTTTCCATCACTAGACCAAGAGCTCTTGAAACACTGGAAGTATCTTTCCTTTGGACATCAATGATCTTTCCTTTGGACATCCAATGATGAATTGTGGGAATAACTGCAGTAACTACTTTTTATCAAGACTGAAAAAGTAAGAGGTACTGTACAAAGATGATCAACATCTTATCCATTCATAAAATGAACAGATAAGTACTAGGCATCTACTAGCTATTTAAGTGATCACCAAACTTACTTTATTGTACAGGGAGACAGAGAACACAGAAGCAAACTATTTAACTAACATAATTCCAGATACCACTGATGGTAAGGAGTCAATAAAAATAGGATAAAATAATAGAATGGGGTGAGGGAAGGACTGCTTAACCCAACAGGTTCAGGAAAGCCTCTGAGAAGGTGGCCTTTGAGCTAACATTTAACTGATTAAAGGAGGCAACCACACAAAAGAGGAATTATTATATTACATATAATTCTCATAGCATTCCTTCTAAGTAGAGTTTTCACTTCTACTTCCATTTTTGGCATGAGGAAAGTAAAGTTTAAATTTGCTAATCTGCTAAAGTCACAAGACAGAGAGAGACATGCTGGGGCTAAAACCCAGGTCTGCAAATCTAGGCACTACTGACTTCTTTATCTTCCAGGTGCTGGCCTTGGCTTACTGCATTCCTCTGACTGGAATTCCCTTCTCAGCCTGGGAATTCTTCCTATTCCCCCAACAGTCAACTTCTCTGAGATGCTTAACCTAATAACCCAAGTAGAAAAGAGTGTCTCCCTCCTCTGAACACCTACATCCTCTTATGACCACTCTCTCCTAGTAGAAATACAGCCACTGCTCCCTTGCTAGGGCAGTGTCCATCTAATATGCCTGATGTATCCCTCCCCATCCTCTACCCCTAAGCCTACAGAAATCCTTGCTCTCAACCTTTACAGAATGAATGAAAGGCAAATAAACAAGTACACCAAGTTCAGCAGGCATGGCCAGAATGCCTGAGGGCCTTCCAAGTCTTACCAGGGCTGTAAGAGCACTGAAGTGGGATGCAACTGTCAGGGCTGTTTCTGAACAACAGGCCCCAGGAGAGCCAAGAAACTGCAGCTAAACAAGAGAGAGAGCTGAATGTGCACTAACCTGCTTTAAGCTGGCTTTTCATAAGCTGTGTCTGTGTTCCTTCGCCACAGTCAAAGAGCCAGCACTCACCCTCACACCGAAGGACCAGGGCAGAAGCACCCCGGGTTGGGGATGGATATGCTGCACCCGTCCCAAGAAATGTCACATCCATAGACATCTTCTACCCTGCAAGAGAAAGATCACTTGGGGATTATTTCAAATCACTGTAATAAAAACGTGTTCTTACATGACTCACTGTTATTTAACCTGTGCCATGTTTTGAACCTAAGGCCTTACACTTGCTAAACATGTGCTCTACCACTGATCTATACTTTCCAAGTCCTAATTATTTTTAGCCATAGCTTTTTTTTTTTTAATGTTAGGAGATGGTGTGTTAGGCAGGCACTATACTGCTGAGCTCAACCCCCAGCCCTTACTATAACTCTTAACTGGCTAAAACTACAAGTCACCAAACCTTATGTGACTGCGCGCACACGCGTGCACACACACACACACAAAATTACCTAATCAATTAAAAACTAGTTGAGGAGCTAGAATAGAGCACTTGCTTAGGATGTGTGAAGCCCTGGGTTTAATCTCTAGCATCAAAAAACAAAAACTGTAATTGAATTTCAACTATATAACACTCTCAAAAAGGCAAATGTATATACAGATACTAAAAAGATCAGTGTCCATCAATAATATGGGGATGGAAGGAAGGACTACTAGATAGAATATAGGATTTTAGAGGGCATCAAAACTATCCTATGTGACACAGTAAGTATAGATGCATCATTATACATCGGTCAGCTGTACACAGCATATGCAACACAAAGAAGTCAACTTTAGTTAATAACAGGGCCAGGGATTTAGCTCAGTGCCTGCCTTGCAAGCCTGAGTTCAATCCCCAGTACCAAAAAAACAGAAAACAAATTTAGCTAATAACAGTGTCTCATACTGGCTCACCAATTGTAATAAATGTACCACCTCACTGGAAGATTTTAATATAGGAGAAACTGGGAATTGAGGGGTGAGAAGTCATATGAAAACTCTCTGTATCTTCCAGTCATTAATTTTTTAAAAAGTTCTAATAAACACAAAACCGCAATTCTAGCTGAGGTACTGAACAAGAGATGGGATTTAACTATGTTTACTGAGTGGTGCCAAGGTGATCAACCTTCCTTTGAACAATCATGCTCTGTTATATCCCATAATAATGCTTCTTCATAATAATGCTGAGGAAATGTCTCATTCCTCTATGACTGGTTACTGTACTGTGATTTTAAGTGATCAGCAATAACCTGTTGAATGTGCAGATTTCTGCCAACACCTGGCATAATTCCCTTCAATATTTCTGGACACATCTGTCATCTCTAGTATATTTCTATAATGGGGGATGTGTATCAAACAGAATAAATGAAAATGAACTGAAACTTAGACATAACTAGTTCTAGATTATCTACACTGGTCCACATTGATGGCAAGGAGGAAAAAAGTAGTTTAGAAAAACTACTATAGTTAGAAAACTTGACAGAGAGCTGGATATAAGATAAATATACAAAAGAATCAACAGGTAAAAGGGAAAGTCCAGAAATAAACTGATACGTAAGAAATCAATAGGGTCAAGGATTTAGCTCAGTGGTTCTGGCACCTGCCTCAAAAGCGCAAGGTCCCGAGTTCAATCCCTGGTACCAAAAAAAAAAAAAAAAAGAAAGAAATCAATATATAATTAGATGAGAAAAGGTAGTTTATTTATTGAATAGTACTGACATAACTGGCTGTTCTTGCAGAAAAAGAAAGCAAAACAAAGCAAGGCCCCCATTTTACACTGAATATAAAAATTCACTGCATATGGGTTAAAATATGTTTTTTTGGAGACAGGATCTTCCTATGTAGTTCAAGTTGACTCTGAATTTACTATATGTACCCAAGGCTAGCCTTGAACTCCAAGCAATCCTCCTGCCTCAGCCTCCCAAATGCTGGGATTACAGTGTGTGCCACCATACCCAGTCTTGGGCTAGAAATTTAAATGTAAAAATCCAATGAAATATGTTTTAAAAAATTAAGAGGGTGGGAGGCTATAGCTCAGTGATACAACCCTTGCCTATCCCTGCACTCAATTCCCAACACTGCAAGGACAAAGTATCAGGAGACTATGTAGGTAACTCTGGAGATGGGAAAGCCCTTATTGTCAAGGCAAGAAGCCCAGAAAATTTAAAAACATAATTTTCATTTGATGTTTATATCATTTTAATACTTTTATATATCAAAGATTCATAAAGCCAAAGAACAAAAAAATGACTGGAAAAAAATGTGCACCACTTATGACAAGAAGTTAATGCCCCTTTAAAAGGTTTGTGTAAGCTAGGCATGGTGGCCCATGCTTGTAATCCCAGCACTTGGGAGGCTGAGGCAAGTTGTTTGTCTGAGTTTGAGTACAGCCTGGGCTACACAGTGTGTTCAAGTCCAGCCTGAACTATATGGTGAGGCCTATCTAAAGAATAAATATATATATATATGGTTTGTGCAAATGCATTAAAAAAATCAAAATACTGAAGAAAAAGAAAAATAGGCAAAGGATATATACCAGAATCACAGAAGAAATTCAAATGGCCAATAAGCATGAAAAGTGCTCAGTCTCTTAGTAGAAATGAAAATTAAAGAAAAAAGAGACACTATTTTCCACACATTGGCTGGCAAAGAGCAATGAAGCAATGCTAGCCAGGGCTACTAAAGATGAAGGGAAATGGGTAAGTGGGTGTCTATAAATTACTGATGGTGGAGGTAAGAATCACTATTATGCTTTGGAAGAATAATTTGGCAATAAGTGTTATCAATAACAATAAAGCTGTTGATAACAAACCTAGAAATTCTACTTTTGGGACTCCACCATACAAAAACAAAGTATCTAGGTACAATGTTTACTGTGGTGCTTTGGGGTAGCTAAAGTATTGAAGCAATCTATATATCCATAGGGAAATGGCTGAATAGTTTATTGTATATTCCTATTATTTTTTTTTCTATTAACTATTAACAAATACTTAGGTCTGTAACTACTGTCCTAGAAGGATGACAATGAGAAGTTACAGATGGCTATGGTATGGTCTCATCTTTATAACAATGCTCTAAACCCCTACACTTACATAAGACAGTCTGGTGTGGAAGGATACATACATACTCTCAATATTAGTTATTTCTGGGGTGATTAGAATGATAGGGAGGGGCAGGATAGAAATTTTTAACTCTTTTTGTACTGTTTTCAGTGGCAATGATTAGCATTTATTTCATTATATATTTAATACCATTGACTTTTAAAGAATGTGTCATAAGGCCAAACATGCTTTTCTAACTATACATGATCTAATCTTCCTCTCTTTTTTGGATAAATCAGCTCCCCACTTCTCTTGCCCCATACATCCCTCACACACAAGTGGTATACCTTAACCCAATCCAAAGACGTGAGGTTATCGCTAGTGTCCCTTCAATATATTATTCCACATTTTCAGCTCCAAGATCAAGTCTTCCTCTGACAATTAAGCAGCTTAATTTGCAGAGGGTTTCCTAGTAGATTGCAGTTTGCAAGAGGTGAGAATAAGCAGAATGTAAACATTAGAATTTAAAGGCTAATAAGATGCAGAAGAAATAATAGAACATAATCACTTTGCAAGCCCTAACAAACAATAGAGACTAGTGATACTGAACTCTGGGAGTATATCAGGATTATCTGGAAAGATTAAAAAATGTATCAGCGATTAGGCTCTATCCCAAAACAATTAAACAGGAAATTGTTAGAAATGTGCTTTGATATTTTAATAAGAGGGAAAGAGGGATCCTTCCGCTGTAATTCTAACATGGAATCAGATTTAAGAACCTGGGTATGAAAGAAAAATACAACATTTCATCATTAAAAAAAAAGAAGCTGGGTATGGTGGCACAAGCCTGTAATCCTACACAATGGAAAGCTGAGACAGGAAGACTGCAAGTTTCAGCCTATCCAGGACAATTTACCTATTTAGTGATACCCTATCTCAAAATAAAAAATTAGAAAGGGCTGGGGATTTAGCTAAGTGCAAAGACCCTGGGTTCAATCGTCAGTACCATACAACAAAACGAAATAAAGAACCATATAGTGATAGGCCAATGGAGAACAAAAAGCTAATTATCAAGCTGACCTTGACCTGAACTTAATGAGTTAATCTTTTTAAAAAAATATTTTAAGAAAAATTCGAAACACCTACAGAAGTAGGGAGGTCAGTATAATGCTTTGCCACACATCCATCATGGAGCTTCAGTAATTACAACTCATGGCAATCCTGATTCCTCTATACCCCCACCCTGCCCCCAATTATCCAAGAATAGTCAGTAAATGGTATGAGGTATTTCCATTAGGAGGCACACATCATCTGGCTGTCTCTCTCTTTCTGATGTTAACATCTACTAGTGATCACTGTCAGGATCCATTATTTCATTAGAGTTTGCCAAAGAGTGGTATTTTCTTTCCTTGTACAGTTATTAGCTGGCATCTCTCTAATTCCCTGGTCAATTACTTGGTTACCTGCGGTGCAATTTGTACATAAAAGGTCCACAAAGAGAAACAAGATCTTATCTAATTCCTGATGATGCAATATAAAATATACAGTAAGCCTTTAGGAGGTTATGTCAAAATGTGTAAGCAGAACCTGAAAAAGCTAACTCTAAATACCAGTTTATTACAAGAATCTAAAGGAATATCAGTTATTAAAGGAATTCCAGGAATGGAAAAAAACAATATTCAGGAAACTTTATAGGACAAATGACTTGGTTTTTTCAACAAGTAAAATAAAAGGAAAAAATGAGGGACTAAAGGAGATTTACGAGGTACCAAGCAAAGGTAACATATGTAGTTTATGTGTCTTGATTTGACCAAACTGATAAAGGGGAGGCAGGGAAAAGACAACTGGGGAACTGTACACATTGAGTGGAAAATAGATGGTAATATGAAATGCTAATTGGACTGATAATGGCTTTATGTTTAAAAATGGAGTTATGTTTTATAAACAAACTTTAGCAGATAGTACATTTCAGGTTTGGTTTACAATAATACAGTGGAGATGAGGGTAACAGATGAAACGGGTGATTATGAGTTGGGAGTTCAATACATTATTCTATTTTCATATGTTTGAAAGTTCCCACAATAAAAAAGTTTAAAAACAAAGCAAATAAAACCCTCCACTAGGTCAGGAAGTAATCAGAAATTATGTAATGAATGGTGCACGTTTGACATCCACCATTTTAGATATCAGGAATTAAAAGGGACCAAACCAGATTAGGTCTGTCTTCTCCGACAAAAAGAAACAGCTGTTTGCTTTTTCAAGACTGTGATCCACCCTCCAAGAAGAGCACATTCCGGGCATGATCATAATACTGTCATTTGACACCCCGGGCCCGCGGTTCTGGGTCCTGGGTGCAAATAACAAATCACCCGGTGACATGGGGCCTCAGCATTTACGTTTCCCAAGTGATTCTTATGGTTGCCTGGGTAAGAACCAGCGGTCCTTAGTTTTCAGGCAGACAGCATCAACCCTGTAATCACTCAGTAGTGTAGGTAAGGCAGATACCGCCCTCCTCCATTTTAGAGCTGAAAGAACCGGGGCCAGAGGGAGAGAGTGAATGGCCAAACACAGCCAGGGCCAGACGCCAGGCCTCCGGCCACCAGCTCGCCTAAGCTCGCCTAGGAGACTTTCACTTTCGTAGAAGTATAGGTGGGCGGTGGTATCAGCGCCGGGCGGCCAAGGATCCGGCCCGAGGCGGTGGTCGAGACGCGTCCTCACTCCCGGACCGGCTTCTCCGCGCCCGACTGGGCCAGGCCGGGCCGGGCCAAACCGAGGAATCTCGAGGAAGCGCGCCCGCCCCCCTTCGGCACGCCCTGCCCCACTCACCCTCTACCAGAGGCCCGGGTAGGGGCCGAGCGAGAAACAGGCCCGCTCCAAACCCCAGCGCTCAGCGGGGCGGCAATACGCGCAGTCGGAAGTGCGCTGCCGGCTGGGTCCAGCGCGGCCGCTCTAGGGCGCGCGGGAGGCCCGCGCTCGGTGGCGCCCAGTCTGGACCCGGCTGCAGGCGCTTCCTGGCTCCCGGGGGGGTCGCCAGGAAAATTCCTGCCGTTACCTGGTTCCTTCCCAGGTCGCTGTAAGATGTTTTGTTTTCCCTGTCATGTTTGTCAGTCAGGAATGGTCTTCCTGCTGTTTTGCTCAGGCGTGTGTTTGTGTATTTTAAATATATTTGCTTGGGATGAATCTTTCAGCCACTAAACCTGAAAATTTAAACTTGTGGTACCTTAGGAGGAAAAGTCAAGGGCCTTTGAGCCAATTCATTGTCAGCGTGACCATGTATCTTGATGAGCTCCAGCCCATATTTCCATTCCCTCTTCCCAAGGATATACCTTCCCATTTGCTTAAGATCTGAACCTTAGTGTGCTGTACTCGCCCCAAACCTTGCGGACCTCTTCTCTTATGAATCATTCCAGAAAGTAAAACAGCAAGTAGTGATTACAAAACACAAAGTGGGGGGAAAAAAAGCTATATGAGTGGGAATTGTTAAATACTCTTTTTACAATAGGTTTGTTGTTTTTTTGTTTTGTTTTGTTTTTGTTAAATTCTTTTATTGGTACATTATAGGTATACAACACAATTACATTTCTCATTGGGAATTGTACCTTTACATAATGCATCTTGGTTCTTATTTTTTCCCCATTCC